CATTTGTAATCATCAAAATTAAACGAAATAAACATTTGAAATATATGAGTTTGTATGTAATGTATGAATATAATATACAAGTTTCACTTTTTAAATGGAATTATTGAAATAAATCTACTTTTTCATGATATTCTAATTTTTTGACCAGCACCTGTAAGATATTCTACTACCACACCAAATCTTGTTATTTTTGTGTTTGTCACAGTTGATTAGCTGTGCCAGCCATCTTCATTCATGAGATATTTTGCTGACAGGCACATGGTTGCACGTAGACAAGTGGAAACACGTGCAACATGCGGTAACAGCCTGTAAAACTATAATAAAAAAAGAAAATTAGCAATTTTCTGCAAATAACAAAAGAAACAAAACCAATTTTTCACTAATTTGCAATTTTGAAAGCAGTTTGTAAAAAAACAACAAAACTAAACACTATTTTTTAGCCAAATGTGAAATAAAAAATGGAGGAAAATAAATCATATTCCAAAATGCAAACCTTACATTACAACATTTTTCAAGCACAACAACAGAAAACTACCAACAAAACACCTCAACCTTTAGCAGAATAAAGTATGATATTAACAAGTGAAGAAAAATCTTTTTTTTTCTTTTAAATATCTGCATATTTCAGGTTTTGCTGATGTTAATTGTTTCTACAATGTTTTGTGGGTTTGTTGTGATGTTTTCTACCTCAGGGCCTCTTTTCAATTCACCCCAAATTAATTCTCGTAAATGTCTTGTTTAAATCGTCCAGGTTCGGGAAGAAGAAAGATGAAAAGAGCAAAGACGCAGTGAAAGGATCAAAGAACAAACTGGATGCCCTGAGTGAGGAGGAGCAGGACCGGGTCCCTGACAACAGAGATGGGTAAGAAAAGATGGATTAGTTTAAAAAATGTTTTTAATATCTGTGCTGCTTCATGAGTAACAGAGTCCCCCCCTCTCAAACAGCTACGACCCACGGTACCAAGAGATCCACTCGGGTTACACCACCCCCGACCGGAGCTCCCTACCTGATGTGGAGGACGACGACAGCGACCCCCACTACGCCCGAATCAACAAGTACCGCCAGCCGCCCTCGCCGCTGTCCCTCAGTCGCACGCCCTCTCCGGCGATGCCAGCAGGGGGGCAGAACTTACCTCAGGCAACACCCAATGACATTGAAGGCCTCTACGCTAAAGTGAACAAGTTCAGACCGCCGCCCACTTCGCAGAACCCRCCACAGGCAGACAGGTGAGCGTGGGTTAGAGCTTTTTCCTCCAAACTTTCTGCTGTTTAGTTTCTTTATTTAATCTCTTAGTTGTTATATGTGTGTGTTTTACACTTATGTGTAAACAAACAGCAACCTGTCTACATTTATATTCTGAAGCCGAAAAAAATGCATAAAACATGAGTGAATACAAATATCCAGTCATGTCATTAGACATGTAGGCTGGCTTTACCAGGTTGTTAAATAAAACATCTTTARAGTAAAATGGATCAAAAATATGATGATATAAACTCTAAGAAAATATTAAGAAACGTCTTTTTAACCTGTGCAGCAGGTTCAGTTTGTCTCTTATTCCTTTAATTTTGTCACCCACTTCCTCGTCAACTCAGTCACACACAAAATTACAAATTCCAGGTGCAGCAAAGCACATCTCTGAAAGGTCTGCGTCTCCTCCCCTCTCTCCTCCTTCATGTTGGAAGATGAGTCATCGTAGGCCACCAGCTGGGTCTCAGTTCACGCTTGGTTCAGAAATCCTTCAAGTAGCCACCTCTCCATGCAGATACAAATGTTAAATCAAAGGCCTGGTATTCCCCGAAGGACTGCACGTCTCCYCTCGTAGGTTCTAAGAGCAAAGCTGAGTCGAGCGAAACTAAAAGGGCCATAAGTTCATCCTGTTGAAGTCACTGTGRTCAAACATGGAAAGGAAGGTTTTTGCACAATGCCGTGCTCAGATTACACGTAGTGAGTGACGCTCATCTCCTCCTGAGTCGTTGTCATGTTTGTGTTGGCTAACATCAGTTAGCTGAGACGTACAGCTAATGACATGGACATACRTACGCTCCAACATATCCCGAGTCTTACCTGGGGTCTCCTCCCAGTTAAACATGCCTGAAGCACCTCCCTMGAGAGGTGTCCAGCAGTCATACTTACCGGATGTCTGAACTGCCTCAACTGGTTCCTCTATGTGGAGGAGCTTTACTCAGTCTCTTCAAGATATCTGAAGTTTTCACCCTATTTAGAACAGCCCCGTCAACAACTCCRTCCAAAGCTGTGAAATGGTCTCTCATTGTCACAGWTGTGTGATGAAAATTGTGGCAATTTCTTCTCATAAGGCTCGGGCCAACGTTTTACACACAAGCGAATGTGTCGAGTTTTGTGTGATTTGTTAGGGTTAGAAAAACGTTCAGAGTCAGACAACACTGATGTCATTTTGCTTCAACTACGCTGCTTCCAGAAGGCAGCTGCTGTACGTCCACACAAAATGGTTAGTGTGGATGAGGATTTGTCCGAGGTCATCAGAAAGTCCCTTCATCTACAGTATATGACACTCCCTGACACTTATGAACTTATCAAAGGTGTTTTTTTTACACCACGGTATTAAAATATGGTGATGACTGTATTTAAAATATATGATGGTGTGAGTCACGTGAGGTGATTCGCCAAATTTCCACAAGACTGCTGTGGAAACTGAGACATAAACATTCAAGGGTCTTTTGGAGAGGGCAGAGCAGAGACACMCTGGGCAAGTTTTTAAAAAATACAAACTGTGGAGTGAGGTAGTGACAGACACATTACTCACAGGCCTTTAAGGGAGAGTCCTGCTACCCAGAGGAGAAAACTCATTTTGACTGCTTGTATCCACAATCTTATTTCAGTCACTACACAGATTTGAGACCATAGGTGAGGATAGGTACGAAGGCCGACTGGTAAGAGAGCTTTGCTTTACAGCTCAGCTCCCTCTTCACCACAACAAACCAGCACAGAGTCCACAATACTACAGAGGCTGCACCGATTCATTTATCCRTCTCATGCTCYGTTCTTCCCTCACTCGTCAACAAAACCATGAGAAACTTAAACTCCTCCACTGGAGGCAGAACCTCACTCCCAAMCTGGACCCTGCCTTTTCCAAACGAGGACCATGACCTCAGGTTTGGAGGCRCTGATTCTCATTCCAACTCCTTCTGGACTTGGTTGTTTTTTAACTTAAATTTTAAAGTTTGCTTTTTAGTTATGGTTAACAGAAAAATGCATACTGGATTGTTTTAAAGTACTCTAATAATAAATATATTTGACTTAGAGGAAATATATATTGTAAATAAGGATATTCAGATGTCAGAACAGTTGATTTTAATTCTGACAAAGGCTTCATTTCTTCACTGATTTTTCCCACGGAAATCTTTGAAACCTTAACTGAGCTGCTTCTGTTTGTGAAAGCGGGGGAAAAAAGTAGCAAATCTGGAGAGGATTCTAATGCAAATTCATAATTTCCTGTGTGAAATAATACGAGCCACATTAAAACTTCCCTCAACTTAAACTCTCTGACAGAAATTACTATTGACTTGCAAATCAAACACTAAGCCCCCAGACGCCCAATCTCGTCCAGAAATAGACGATTCTGGAAAAAGAGGAAGAGAGAGGAGAAGGTTGGACATGGAGAGGAGACAGATGGGAATGGAAAGAAGCAACAGACGGGAGGGAAAGAGAGACAAGAGAACGTTGGAGAGAAAACGAAGGGAGCCGGCGCCAAAASCGGAGAGAAACTAAAATGTAAGGCAGGGTAAAAATGGAGAGAGGAGAAGTGACAGAGGAGTTGATGCACATAAAGAGGAGGGGGGATAATTAGCCACAGTCTAGCAGCCTGACAGATCTGTTAGACCACTTTAGCTCTCATCCACTAGTGGTGGGTACTTCATTACCAGCCTGTTTTCTCCCTGTCCTCCATATTCTCCCTCAGACTCTTTCTGCCTCTGAATCTCCAACACTCAYGTCACCCGTCTGTTTTCACCTGTTTCTCTCTTCTCTTTTTTTATACGAGAGCCTTTGGATGGATGATAAATCCTCTGCAGCTTATTGCTGTCTTTTAGAAGAAAGATCTTTAATAAAACAGTCAAGTTATAATTATACCAAACATGCTTGTATTGAACTAAATTGTGGATTAAAAMAAGTTGCAATAATTTGTAAAAAAATTCTTTAGCTAAGCAGCTGAACTGAAAGCAAACCTGCATAAAACATGGTTACTGTGGTTGTGTTTAATAAATGAAAGCAAACTTAATTAAAGGTCCAGCATTCCTTCAAGGAATGCATATCACCTGCCAGAGTTTTATACCAAAATTATTACATGTTAACRTATTATTTTGATGTCGTAGCTGTTTTGGTCCGTCTTTGTGCAAAACTATTATTTTTAATCTCATGGAGTTCTACGCAGCGAGTAGCACTTATGTGTGACTTTCAACTACCACCACACCAAATTTAAGCTCAATATCTGTAAAATTGACAAATTTATATYTAATTTTGTGCTGATTCCAATGGTTTCTTTCTGAGAGTTKTTGTTAAAATTTGTCCAGTGGTTCATTAAATACTTGGTTAACAGACAGAAAACAATGGAGAAGGCAGATGAGTATATCAGAACTACTCACTGGTATGAGGTAAATTTGTTTATTCTGATTAAGGCTGCATGATGTATTAAAAGTTTATTGTAAGCACCATGTCAATGTTGTAAAGGGTTAATCGTATGAGCATCCAGATAACCAGTTTTATCTCAAACCAAGTACAAGTACTTGACCCATGAAGCGTAAGAACTTGAACCTCAATCTTAATAGTTACTTAGATTTATTTTACCATTCATAAATGTAAACATAATAAAAATGAAATTAWATAATACAAATTAAACTGCAAGTAGTTTTAAACAAACAACTAATATACAAAGATCAGCCTCTCCCCAGCATGAGGGGATGTTAACCTGCCCTGCAGGGTGCAGACGTAGCTTTGCAAGTCCAAAATAAACTAAAGAAGGACTTTGATTAAAGTGACATTCAGGTGCATAAAAGTAAAAAAKAATCCATTGTTTGAAATCTTGYTGGATCCAAAAGTTCCAATAAGAGTTCTACACAATCAAAACAAACATGAGAGAACGAGACACAATGGATTATTACCATAATTCAATGATTTATCATAAAATGCCTWAGCTAATGCTAGCATAACTGATTGTAAACTAAATAAACTTATAGACAGTTGATTAGTCACTGAAAATAAGATTTATGAAGCATCAAGCTGACGCACAAACTAGCTTTCTGAATCTTACCCATCTGCAGAGGACAGCTGTAGCGTGTTGGTGTCTCAGGATGTGATGATGTTTTTGCTGCCGCTGTTCTGAAAGAAAGTAAAATGACCGAGTCTGCATTTTACTTTCTTAGGTTTATTTTCAGTACAATGAAACAAACTTTGGAAAGTTTAATTCTCGTTTTTTCTCTTTGACGAGATCATCTTTCCATTCCCCCATTATCACTTTTTTAATTTGCTTGCTGCATCGTCTTCTGTGGTTTACAGACGTCACCTCTTCTTCAGTAGGAAACAATGTAAGCACAGACAATAGAAGTAATTCTGCCCCCAGCAGTTCATGTATTGCACTGCAGTTACAAATGGACATTTACATGAGTAAATAATRTGATGCATCAACATTAAATTCCACATTGACTCATTCTTATAACCAATGTTGTCTGTTTTGTCGACTGTTGCTACTCTAGTCTATTTGGAGAACATGAGATGTAATTTGTACCGGTTGCTGCTGCGTCATCACAAAACAACCTTTCCAAAAACAGAACAGATGACTGCAGAATTGCATAGCTTTAAAAAAAACAAAGTGGCACAGTGGCTCAGTAGAGCTGATGCCTTTCAACAAGAAGGTCACCGGTTCAAATCCCAGCCCGGGGACCTTTCTGGGTTTGCATGTTCTCTCCGTGCATGCGTGGGTTCTCTCCGGACACTCCAGCTTCCTCCCACAGACCAAAAACATGACTGTTAGATTAATTGATAACTCTAAATTGTCCCTAGATGTAAGTGAATGGTCGTTTGTCTCGTTTGTCTCTATGTGTGTCTCTATGATGGACTTGCGACCTGTCCAGGGTGTACCCCGTCCCTCGCACTGTGACTGCTGGATATGGGTACCAGTGACCCCCGTGACCCTGAAAAGAAGTGGGTATAGATAATGGATGGATGGATTAAAATAAAACCCCTTTTTTTCTTT